ATCGCTTTTGCTCAGTCAAACTTGGCATGGCGTGCCAATACCTGGGCCTTGGGCCTAAAGCTGCACGACTCATTTGTCTTTGGGTCGTTAGAAGTCTTCAAGTCTCTTCTTAGGCATACACCTAAACCACCGCGAGCTGAGTTCAAAGCTCACTCTGACTTCCTCAATCTCAAACAAGTCTAATGTAATGTAAACTCGTACATTCAGTGCATATGTCATCTTACGAGTTTCATCGTATAATCCACCGACTGAACAAATGTCGATGAAGTTGTTCATGCAGGGTTTGACAGATGGTCCAGTCAGGACCTATCTCTTCCGGTTGGAATTTGATATCCTAGAAGAGGCAATCCGAATCGCGAAACAAGAAGATCTTAGCGTAAAACAAGTTCACGTAAGTTCAACTCATACCGTCCTCAATGTGACAGGAAAGCGGAAGCCCAGAACCGATGGACCTCTGTTACGCTAAGGGTGAAAGCTCTCACGCTAACAACTACAAGAAAAATACAAATTTGCAATAGATATTCATCTTACGCGTTCTATCACATCCAAGGAAATAAACATCAGAGATGGTATGGCTAAGAGTACCATATTTTCATCCATAGATCCTATGGAATGAGTTTTATTAGATCCTTGCGCGCGACATAGACATTCCGTGTACTCCAGTGACCACCCCAAGCGGTATGCTTTGGGAGTGATTACACGTCGCTTAGCATCCGGTCATTTTATGGAGTCCACCTCTCTACATAGCTCTCCTACCCTCTGTGTGCGAAATGCCACAGAAGTCTGGCGGATAATACATGCCTTCAACGAATTAAATGCTGCCACCGTATCGGTTCAAGCACCAATACCAAGGAATCAAATACCATGCATGGTATGGCTAAGAGTACCAGATTTTCATCCATAGATCTGATGGATGGGTTAAATCAGATCCTAATGCGCGACAGGGACATTCTATTTCTCCAGTGACCACCCCAAGCGGTATGCTTTAGGAGTAATTAGTAATGCTGCAAGGGGCTAAGTAATTCCCCTGCCTTAATCAAAAGATGTGTAACAACTCGATAAAAATTCGAAAGAGAGTTTGCGCTCGGTTAATTTCGATGACGTGTTCGTCTACGGATGGACAGACAGATGTGGCAGTCTACCGACACACGTCTGAAAGGTTTTTACACTGATGCGTAAGCACAAGATGTACGCTAACCTCAAGAAGCGAATGTTTGCGGCTAGCATGGTTGCATCAAAGGCAAGCACGGCGTCCCGCCAGATCTAGAAAAGATCAAGTCGATCACCGACTGGCTAGTGCCTACAGATGTCAAGGGACTTTGAAAGTTCCTTGTCCTAGCGTCGTTTTTGCATAAATACTAACGTGATTATGCCAAGATAACTGTTCATGTATCTCGTTTATTGTAAAAGAACTATAAGATTGAACGGAGTACCGACTGACAGAGCTCTTTCAAAGGTATCAGGCAAAGGTTGATACGATCGCTGTTTTGGCAATTGGAGAACAAAACAGGTTATTCTACGTGGTCTGTGATGCAAGTGACTTCTAAATTGGCTGTGCATTGATGCAGTACGATGCGTAGCGTGTCTCCTGTTACCAGTCACGCCAGATATACGTAACTACTATGTCCATGACAAGAACCTTCACGCAAAGAAGTAATCGTTGGCTAAGTCCAGGGTTCTGTGTGCTATGTGGTAAACCCTTCATTGCTTTACGGGCCATGCATCTTTACGCATGGCTTAAACAGTCCACAACTTTTGCAGCAGATGGCGAGGTAGATTTCATCATTTGCGGAGTATAACTTTTCCGTCGAGTATAAACCAGAACGAACGACTTGACGTCGTCGCTGACTCACTCTCGCTCCGGCCAGATTACGAGCCGGCTGCGCCACCCGACACTGGTTTGACCACTGTCGAGGAGCTGACTTAGAGCTTCCCTTCTTCAACTATATTGGAAAACATATAAAAGTCGTATTAGCTGGGAATGGTGCGATCGATGCATTATGTCATAAACTCATCCGGAAAGAGCCCTAAACATTTATCATCAGTATGTCGATCGTCCACGGATCGGTGTACAGTTCACAACGACCGACTCCAATATTTGGCTGTTTCTAGCGAGAAAACTCGTGTCGTCTTACCAGATCATGGTAATCTGCGATTGCGTATCATGTATGAGTACCATGTAGCACATGCTAGTGAACATCGTGGTCGTCAAAAAGCGTATCTCACAGTGAGCCACGAATGTATCTTACTCCACCAGTGTCTGTTCGTGCACAGGTACATTCTGACCTGTGAGGTCTGTCAACAAGTGAAATCTTGTCCTTCCCTTTAATCCCCGTTGCAGCCTCTGCCCGTCCCTGAAAGGTGCTTTAAATTTGATCCAATGGACTTTGGCTTTGGATTCCCCGCAGACTCTCACGAGAATACTGGTTTTCTTGTGTCCGTTAACAGGTTTAGCAAGATTGTACATCTGATTACTGTACTGATTCAATCAACGCATTGGCTTGTGCATGTGTATTTATCGACACGGCCTTTCGCCTTCATGTTCTGCATCGTGAAATCGTATTAGATCGATACGCACGATTAACTGCTGGATTCTAGCGATCCTTGTTAAAAAAATCTCGGAGCGCGCGTAGAGATGTCTATGTCTGATTATACTGAAGCAGATGGTCAGACTGAACACGCCAATCGTGTCTTCGAGGAGATTTTCGATGATGAGTCTGTCTCTTTACGAATTGAAGTGAATTCTTGCCGATGTTGGAGCTCACCACCAACAATTCAGTTTATGCGTCAAGGTCGTACACGCCGTTCTTCGTGAATGGCTCACGCCATCTGTGTATTCCGATTTTTTGGAGTGTGGCTATCATTTTAGGGGATTAGAGACTCAGTTTAGCGGCCTTTAGTCCGGCTCTCGATCATCATGTGCTGACAATGCGGTCACCATGTTTAAAGCTGATGCTGGTCACATCGGCTTTGGTTAAGAAGACGAAAGTTTAAGTGAAGATGCTCTTAGTGAATACAAGACTGACCAAATTATCATCACGCCTAGTGCGTCCAAAGACACACTCACAGGCGGCAAGTACTTTTGCTACAGTACGCTCCGAGATCACTGCAGATAAAGACAGCGATCAAGCAGATACATTCATACTAACTCGTGAAATGGTTGTCCGTTTTGCACAAACTTAATCGCAAAGGCGATAGATCGACAAAAATGAAAAGCTGACAAGAATGGAAGAGCAAATGGTTTTTATACAACAAAGGTAAACGATTTAACTATATGCGGTAAACCCACCTAAACACATAGTGAATAACGTGAGAAGTCACAAGGTACTACCCAAGTTCATCGTTTCATTTTGTGTGCTGCGCACCTTAGGCAGCGTATATACGATTGGACTCCCACGTAAGAAAGGCACGCATCCTAAGCTCTACGTAATTATCCTTAGGCCATACTTTTAATACGAGGCTTCTATCAGTGGAGAAATCCCTTGCGTTCAAACGTCGCCAAATGATAGTTGTGCTCGCGGTGCTGACTATCAGCCCGCGTATAAAGCTTGGATATCTGTTCGTGAAGCCGAGAAATATCTGAGATAGCTTCCATCAGCTCGTCGCGGTGAGAGCGCTCTTCCTGTAACGAGGTTAAGATTTTGTACGTAGCTTAAACAATCTACACTTCGAGGAAGCCTGAAAGCCTGAGTCTTAGGTATGTGTTATTGTTTTTTATCATTCTAGGTACGAATGATTATCTTAGAATCATGGGAACCACTCCATGTACGTGCAGGTGTCTCAATAGCTAATAATGGTGCCAACACCATTGATTCAGCTTTTAATATACGAGGTGATACTTCCGCTAGCTCGGAAGTCCCTTCCTTACTCTAGTAACATGCAAAGTTAATTTTAACTACTGATGTAAGGAGGTGTTCATTGCACTTCACGCTCATTCGCCAGCTGAGCAAAGACATACTCTGTACTGTTTTTCTCTCGATATGAGCTCAGACGGTTTACATTGCCTGGAAAATCCAGAAGTCTGGCTCTCTCGTGTTTGAGGTCCTCGCGCAACTCACACGTTACTCGGTCGAGATGACAAACAGCATCAGATTGGCCCCGGGATCCATCAGAGGATGTGTTCCATTATCCACCTCAAACATTCTTTGATAATCGCGGTGATTAGAGCTTCCTCGTGGAGCGACTGATGCACGACCGCGATGTGAAAGGACGTCGGACAAGTTACCTTGTCCGGTGGCGCCGCTATCCGCCCTCGCTGGATAGTTGGGATCCTCGTTCGCAAATGATCGTGGACACGTTAAGCCTTGTTGAGAAGTAAGGCAAGGCACATCCAATGCCGAGAAAGTTCAATCGGAGAAGAATTTTTAGCGCGTTGGCAGAGGTACTAAAAAGTAGCTAGTATCTCTTACATCTTCGACGAGACGCGATCCCACCACCAGGGATCGGTCATTCGATAAGATCATTTAGGAGCTGTGTCAAGTTGTTCACACAACAACAGCACGCATCACCATAGGAGAGGCATGGTTACTCGACCTATCTCTGTGTAAGCGATGCAGTTTGTAAAGCGCACCGCTAGAAGTATGCTTCTCGAATATATTACGCAATAGGGTCAGCTTGTCAAGCCAGGCATCGCATCCAATCTCCCCAACGTTGTAAATTAATGGATTCCAAGACTGAATGGTCGATGCACCGCACTCTTATGTTTTCCGCTGTACATCGATGTTCGAAGAACACATCGATTTAAAACTCATGATCAGTGCGAAAGTCGCTTGCACTTAAGTCAAGGCCATAAAGTCTTGATAAATCGAAAAGCCTGATTCGATAAGATAGCTTACCGTGTAGGAAAAGTATTCCAATACTCTCTGAGGAGGAAACCACGCCTTCTTCTCTGGAGCAACGCGCAGTACGTCACGATCTCTGTCTTCCTCAGTGGTATCAATAGAAGTGCAGACACCACGTCCAGCACGGTCGTCTTTTTTGTAACGCATTGTCGCGTCACAATGATCATAGCTCTACTGGCTCTTGCCACCGCCTCGATTGCTCTCGAGAGAGAGCGACTCCGCTTTAAAGACGGAGAGTCAGACTCGTCGAATGATCCAAAGATGTCACGACACTCAGCGAGGTTCATGTTGCTTTGCGAGACCGACCTGCTCGGCTCCGTCGTCGCCGCTTTCGGATCTGCTTTCGTGGCAGCCTTTGTCGAGTTGAAGTCGCCATCCGACTCGCCAGAGTAATTGAGCTCAAAGTCGTATTCTTCGAGGCCACGCGGCGCATCATCGCGTGAGCCTGCACCAGAAGAAGCAGCAGGCACAACCTGTCTGCTGCGCTCACTGCTGTCGCCTCATCTGCCACAGCGAATCGATGTCTCTCCGCTGCAGTACCAGTCGATTTTTCTGCCCCCCCCCGCTTGGACTTTAAGGCATGTGGGGGTACAATGGAATGTTTGTAATTGACCTTACATTTCCCATATGTACCCATAAGAGTCACTCATACATCATTCAGTCACCAATGTGACTGATGGTTGGGGGTGATCAAACGTGGTTGATCCGTTACGTGATAGTTTACACAAGGTAAATATCAAGTACGAATGTTCTGTTTGGACAACAGAATGTTCTCACAATATTAGCTAAATAAGCAAAGTTGTGTTGCAGAAGTTGCACACTGTTCATTGGTTGACATAAATTACCGATGTCAACCAACAAAGCCAAGCCACGACAGAAGAACGCAGTGAGTGATGAGCAGATACTTACGATGCATGTTTGTATTCAGGTAAACTTTTAAGAAGACTCCAATTGGGATGTACAGACACGAGATTAAATATACCGAATACAGTTCTACTTTTACCCTTTCTCTTGTTAAAACCTTTCTCTGCACGACGCGTGTACGTGGAGTCTCGAAACACCACTTTACTCTGTGTTCAGAGTAAGTGACTTGTACTGTGACAGTACAAGCGACCCGGTGCCCCGTTTCGTGGAACATCACTACTAAAAATCTGCTGCTCGAGGGTCACTGAAATGGCTCAATTTAGAAATAGAGGTAATGCAAATCAACATAATTAGTGGGCTTCATTACGTGACAGCTCTAAAATATCTAAGGCTGTGAATCTTTACTAGTAGCTACTTGTTGCAAAGCTAACTAATCATCGAAGGTTAGATTCGCATAATGGACAATCTTTTATGAACAGTATTTAAGCGAAAAGCTACCAAAAAAATGCGTGAACACAATGAATCGCCCCCAATCTTAAACTAACCTCAGCGATACGTCTCGTGTCTTCCACCCACGCCGAGTTTTTCATTCATTCGAAGGTACTAAAAGAATTCAATCTTCTCTTTCACCGCTCCCAACACATTCTTAGCCGCATTCATTTTATAGCTGCAATACCCTCCGGTTGCTCTTTTGCATCACAGCTCTTTTGTTGAGCCGCCTCCTTCTACTTAACGTCTTCCTTCTTTGATTTTCTTCAGGTCATGCGGTTCATAATGAGCCTGGTCAGCAGTATCTAACATATTGCATACAGCCGATCCGCCTTATCTGTCGCCATTTCCTCTGCTTGTCAAACTTTATATGTGGTTGTGTTCTCCATTGACGGTCTTGTCCTTCACTTGACTATTCTTTTCATGAGTCACGCCCTTGTATAAACTGGACTTTCTGCATCCTTTTATCCTTCGTCTCACCAGCATCATCTTAAGATTTGTCCCTAATCTGTCCTGTCTTCTCAGCGGTCACGTCTTTCGTCTCCTCAGCTATGTTACTCTTGGTCTCGTCGACCTTGTATTGCAGAGCAAACGATGGACAAAGCCAATATGAGCAACAAAAGGTGTCGGCACGACGGACCTGGTTGTCCGTGGTGAAAAACCGGTGGTCTACTTGATGGTTTTTGACGCGATTCTTCTATCCTTCAGTGCCGTGACACATTCTAGCAGCAACCTGTTTATTATTCAACAAATGCGGTGACATTGTAACGGGGTGAATCATTACATGGCAATTTATTAGAAATTGTTAATAGAATATAACTGTAAGAGTTATATTCCCAGAATATTATCACAAGGACAAATATTCTGCAGCACTTACAAGTAGTTCCTTATTGGTTGATATAGGCCATTATATTAACCAACGAAGACGCGCCACGACAGACGTTCGCAATGAGTGGTGAGCAGATAGTTGATTTACACATTTGTATTCAGACATAGTTAGATGAGGACAAACAGTGGTTTATTAACAGACATTAACTGTGCTAAATACAGTTCTACTTTTTACTTTAACCAAGTACTCGCTTCTCCTTACAGTCTTCCTCTGCACGTACGAGTGTACGTGAAGTTACGAGGCACCGCCTTATTCTGTCGTCAGAATAAGTAGCTTGTACTGTCACCAGTGCAAGCTTCAGGGTGCCCCGTTACACCTGGTAGCACTTCGTAGTCCGTCCAAGGACCACGTTCACATCTAACATGATTATGTTGGATGATGAAGATGACCAAAGCTTTCACGCTACGCGTGACGGCTACTCCCATTTGAGCGATGTCGAATGGGATGCAGTTGAACGAATGGTTTCAACCATGGGCATCCATGCTGTTAGCGTCATGTTAGAGGCTCTCAATAGAGATGCCCAACATGCTACTATCGCCAAGTTCATTCAAAATGAACTTGATGCTGAACGCGAGAAAGTAGCCTTGCTTCACCAACAAGGCTCTCAACAAGCAGAGTTGTTGAGAGAACAAGGTGCTCAACGGTTTGAACTGTTGAGACAGCAGCAGGCTGCTGCTGGTGGGTCGATGCACTCGCGTCGACCCGAGACTTTGAAGATTGACATCTCCAAGTATAGAGGAGTCGAAGAGGACTCCCTCTTGAGATGGTTCGTCGAATTGGATGACGCCACAAGGGCGCGTCGCATCGACGACGGGGATATGCAAGTTGCATTTGCCCAATCAAATCTGGCAGGACGTGCCAAGACTTGGGCACTGGGGCTCAAGTTGCACGACCCATATGCGTTTGGGTCGTTGGAAGTCTTCAAGTCACGGCTCAGACAAACGTTTGAACCGCCTGGAGCTGCGTTCAAAGCTCGAACCGAACTCTTGAAGCTCAAACAGGGTAAGCGTGATGTGCACGCTTACGCGCAACATATACGACATCTCACGAGTTGTATCAGTTCCAATCCGGTGGATGAACACACGTTGGTTTCGGTGTTCATGCAGGGTCTTGCGGATGGTCCCGTCGTGACTCACCTGTTCCGAATTGAACTAGATTCACTAGAACAAGCCATTTCCATTGCGGAACAGGAAGACTTCAGTCTGAGACAGGCTCGCGCCAGCTCGACATCATATCGTCAACCGAGACGATATGACAACGGAGGTCCAGAGCCGATGAAACTCTGTTATGTAGAGAGCGAAAAGGCTCGCTCTACAGACTACAACAGGTTGAAGAAATGCAACAGATGTCAAAAGACAGGACACTACGCTTACGAGTGTAGTGCCCCTCGTCCAGTGTCTCGCAACACTGGGCATAGTGACCCTCCACCCATGAGAAAGGGGCAGGGACGCAGGTCCGCTGTTGGTGCAAAGACGCAACAACGGGATGGACCGTAAAAAAACGGACAGGACCAGTAGGTGCGGAGCACCCTACCGGTCCAGCAACGTCAAGAGAATTTGTAGGCCTCTTGACGAAGGTTGCTCCCAACACATGAATATGTGGTTGCTGCTCTAGGTAATGAGATCTCACTCATTACCTTGAAACTCGAAGTGACAAATAAGTTGTCCCTTCGAGCTCTAGTCGATTGTGGGGCGTCCAACAATTTTGTGCGACGCCAATCGCTAGAAGATGGTCACTTTAAGTTCAGTGAATGTGACACACCTCCTACGAGGATGACGGTACGTCTTGCGACAGGCGCATCCGTAACCGTCATGAAGCGTATAGTGAAGATCCACTATACGCTAGAAGATACCCAATATGACGATTACTTTATCGTATTGGATTTGGATGACAAATTTGATGTCATCCTTGGAATACCGTGGCTCAGAAGGTACGAACCACGAGTAAACTGGCAACATCAAACAGTAACGATGCCTGCCGCTTGTTCATCAGATGGCCATCTGATGAACGTTTTGGAGCGTCCACAAGCGTGTGGATGTACTACGAGTGAGTGCGATGGCCTCACTTGTGGTACGGTCGTTAGTACGACTGCACAAAACCTTAGTGTAACAAACGGTTACACTTCGGAGCAAAGTTCCGGCGGCTGTGAGGAAACACAGGCTGCGCCGAAGGTCCACCACTCAAATAAGTCGAGTGGACCGGGACAAAGATGTATCCCTAGCGGGGAACATCCAGAAGAGAAACAATCGATCGCTCAGGTTAAGCGAAACGATAATCCTAGATCGATTGGAGAGTCTTTCGTAGAGGATCTCGCTGTGGTTGCGCAATCACAGCTAGAGAAAGTTGAGGGAATAAGTCCCGATATTACAAATACGGCGGAATTAAGTTCCCCGAAACCCGCGGGAATAAGTCCCCGGGAAGCCGAAGGAATAAGTCCTTCGAGGCCTGAGGGAATAAGTCCCCAGGAAATGACAGAGACATTGAATGTCATAGTCAATGACGGATCAAGTGTAGGCGCTTATACACTTGATCTGATTGCGCCTCCGAAGTTGACTTCGGAGATCACTCAGTTTCCAACGCTCGAACATAAAAGGTTCTTGCGTGATCTGCGTAGTGGCAAAGTCAAGCAGATCTGCGTACTTCGCTGACGACGATTGTGTAGCCGAAATAAGGTCAGCAAAAATGTTTACTGAGAACGAGAGAGTTCTCAGTAGTTCATCAATGGACGAGAGTGTCCTAGATGAAAAGACACGAGTTGAGCGATATGACTCCCAATCGTGGGAATCGCTCAAGACAAATCCTCTCTATGAAGATTTGGTTGAATTCAAGGATGTATTCCCTGAAACTGTTCCGTGCGAATTACCGAAGGATAAAGGTATTCGACACGAGGTCGAGCTTAAACCAGGCTCAAAGTACTGTGTCATGAAGCATTGGCCACTGCCTCGTGAACAAGTAATTGCGATCGACAAGTTCTTTGCCGATCGTTTAGCTGCGGGCCATGTGAGGGAATCAACTTCCCCACATAGCTCTCCGACCTTCTGTGTGCGAAAAGCAACAGGAGGGTGGCGGATTGTGCATGCATTTTACAAGTTGAATGCTGCAACGGTACCGGCTCAGACGCCGATACCAAGGAAGGACGTAATCAATGATG